AGGGGCGACCTCACCCGCGACTCGCCACAGGACGTGGCAGCCCTCGTATTGGAGGCCGACCCCAACGCCGAGGCGATGGTCCTGTGGTGTGCCGCCCCGCCTTGCCAGGACTTTTCGCGGATCGCCAAGGGGGCGGGTCATCAGGGCGATCGTGGCCGCCTTTTCGAGGACTCCGTCGCCTTCATGGATGAGCTTCGCGTCATTCTCCGCCAGCACCGCTTCGCCTTCCTCTACGAGAACGTGGAGATGGAGGCGGCGGCGGCCCAGGTCTCGTCCGATGCTCTGGGCGTCTCGCCTGTCTTTGTCTGCCCTTCCGACTTCGGGTGGGTCTCTCGCCCACGCCTCTGGTGGTTGAGTGTGGACTGGACTCGGGTGGTCACCGACCCCGCCGATGGCTCGCCCCTGGAGTGGGCGAAGCGAGGTCGCTGGGACCGCCTGCGCCTTTCTGCCGCCAGGGTGGCGGCCGATTCATTCGAGCTCGGCGACCTTCAGTTTCATCGTCGGTGGTCCAGGGGCGCAAGCTCATGCCTTGCGCCACGACACCAGCTCCGACGGACGACGGGCGGCAGAAGCCGCGCTCCACCAGGGGGCGCACGGCCCGGGACGCCGACGCCCGTTGGGCGGAAGGGGGCCGACAGTTCGCCCCTTGGCACTACACCGTCGAGGCCATGCTCCAGGACTCGCGGGGCCTGCTCCACCTTCCTCCGCTAGACGTGAAGGAGCAGCTCCACCACATCCCCGCCGGGTACACGGCCAAGGCGGGCGCCGACACCAAGACCCGCCACCGCATGGTCGGGAATGGCTGGCATTGGGGCGTGCCCGCCCGCTTGCTGGGGATTCTCGTCATGGCGACCTGGGCGAAACCGGTGGCGTCGGGTCGGGCGCCTGCAGCGCCCCCACGCCAGGGGACCATACCCTGGTTGTCGCAGGTCTGGTCGCGGAAAGGCTGGGACTTCTCACCGCGGCCCCGGCCCACACCAGCCCTCCTGGGCGCAGGGTTGAACGAGGACGCCCATTGGGCGGCGGCGACCGGTATGCAGCATTCGCTGGTTGGCTGGCCACAGCTGGAGCCAGCCTTGGAGGCGGTCATCCGGTTTCGTCGGGAGTGGCGCCACGACCTCTCCCGCATCCGTGCCGAGGTGCTCCAGGAGCTACAGGAGATGGTCGACGAGGCCGCGGCGGAGGACACGACCGCCTGGCTGGCCACTCTGCCCCCGCACGTGCGGGCGACCTACGAGACGAGTGATCGGCCTCGCCCTTTTCAGGGGCTCATCTTCGACCGCCTGCTGCGGAACCTTGGCTACCCGGCCACAGACGACCTCCGCCAGGATGTGGCCGAAGGCTTCGACATGTTGGGCCGAGTCCGCGCCGCCCCGGGCTGGAAGCCACGCGCCGATGGGCGCTATGCTCACCCCGAAGGGCTGGAGAGGCTGCGCCGGGAGAACCCCCAGTATGTCGCCAGGAAGTTGGCTCGCCCTCGTGACCAGGAGCACACACAGGCGCTTCTCGACGAGCTCGTGGCGGAGACCCGCCTGGGCCGGGTTACGGGCCCTTGCGCCGCGCCGGGACACTGGTCGACCGCCACTACCGCTCTCCCGTCGGTGGTGGGGATGAGCACCCTTCGCCAGCCCCCGCCGGGGGACTGCTTCGCGGCCCTCTCCTTCGCCATTTGTCAGGTCGACGAGCACGGCGACCTCAAGCTACGCCGGGGCGAGGATTGGCGCCGGTCGGGGCACAACGCCACCATGGGGGCGTCCGACGTGCCCACCCACCACTTCTTGGGGGACATCGTCGACCTGATTCTCCGGGCCTGGGCTGAAGGTTGGGATCCCGTGGTATTTGGCCACGACCTTCAGAACGCCTATCGCCAGTGGGCGGTCCGCCACCCGGGGCACTGCGGCACCTTCCTACCGACGTCGTCGGAGATGACGTTATGGTTCCACTTCGCCATG